AATACAATTTATTAATCAAATCTTTCAAACTTTAAAATTATCAGCCATAACTTTCAAAATACAAAGTATTAGCCAAACCTTAACTCCCCGTTAGCATTTTTGTTAGCAAAATTTAATAGTTATACTTTCAATAAAATTGTATTATAATTAAGAAAATATTTAAAATAACAGAAAAAATATTAATATTTTGATATGATACAAAAGATTTAATACAAAGATTTAATACAAAAAAGATTTGGTTAAAGTATTGAAATTTCTTAAAGGTATAGCTATTAAATTTTATTTACTCAATTTGTACCAATTGCTAATTCTTGAAATTTGTAGTAACCTTCAACTCATGGTTGTTGTCTACATTGGCTTGTAAGAATCTCAAACCAAGACACTCTCACACACTTTCAAGGGTTCTCGTCTTAACATGATCCTTTAGTGTATAACGTTCCAACTTTTTTAATGTGCATTTGCAAAATTTTCCTTATTTTTTGTGTTACTTCTGGAACAAAAATATGCATTATATATCTTAATAATTGATAAATCATGTCAACAACTACAATGCACATAGATATAGGTTCATTAAAAACGTTGTATCATTTAAATAATTAAATTTTTTTTTTTTTACAAAGTGATTTAAAAAAAAATTAAAACTCATACAAACATTGTGACATTTCACACGGATGAATTCTTGGATGTATTATAGACACATCTATTGTTAATATAAAGAGTTTACTTTGTTTTGTAACCCTAATTAAAACCTTTGAACACACCTCGTTCAATGGAATACGCAACAAAATTTTGTGGATAGGATAACTCGATCTGTATACATATTGCTTACGGTACAAACTACCATTTTTGTTTTGACATTTTGATATGGTAAAATCTTTTTTTATTGCCAAATTTGGTATGGAGTTACATACTCACAACCATGCAATCAAATGACTTATTAGAATTGCCTTGTTGATCTCATGCTTATAAAGATTCTTCATTTTTAACCTAATAGCTCAGTTTGGAGTCTTCTAACTATAAAGGCCTTTAATGCAGAAGACATTCAACTATTAAACGAAAATTGTCAACCCATGTTTGATTAATGCTAGGTCAGTGGTTGATGAAACTTAATGTTTATCGTACATCGTCAACAAAGATTTCTCCAACACTCACGTGCCATATAATACGTGTACATCATCAAGTTTCTATCCAGACCTTTTACTATATAATACTTATTTTATTTTATAGATATATTAATTAGAAATAAGAGAAGGGATGGCAATGAAGCGGGTTTGCCTAAACCATCACCATCACCATCCCCATCCCCATTTTCAAATACCTAAACTCGTACCCGCCCCATACCCATACGGTGGAAGGTTTTACAAACTCATCTCCATACCCGCGGTTTTCGGATACCCATGGCCATGGGTAATACCCGCCCCATCAACTACTCACCATAAAAATATGTAAAATAAATGGGTACTACCTGCCCAAAATTATGGAACTGATACATAAGTGGATGAAATTACGGTTTGGTTGCCATCAATTACATAAGTGGATGTTATATTTTCTGCATATAACATAATATCCTCGGTGGGGCGGGTTTGGGTATGGGGATGGGGATTTCAAAAGCATATCCACCCATCTCCATCAAAAAATTTGTGGGTTTTTCCCATACCCAATCAATGCGGAGATTCCCCATATTGACTGGGTCGGAGACGGTTGGGTACCTGCGACCATGGGTTTGGTTGTCATCTCTAAATAAGAGAGTGTTTAATAGCCAAAAATATAAAATAACATAGTTCATTTTTGAAAGTAGATTGATTTTCTAACAGTTATTTTCTCTATTTTCATCGTTATATTTTGTTTAATCGATGAAAATATTATTGTTTATGTGTGTGTGTTTGTTTAAAATTTCCAGTAAAAAACAGTAGTCTTTTTCTCTATTTTCATCGTTAATAATATATTTTTTGTTGAACTAAATGTGATATATCACTCTACAAACATTAGTCTTTTTCTACAAACATAGATATAATATGAAAATTAAAAAGAATCATTGAATAAAAGAAAACATCATTAAAAGAAGAGAGAGATAACTCCATAAATAGCTCATTAACTAATTTTTTTGCTTGTACAAAAATTGTCCACCTTAGCAACTAGTGAATTCTCCAAGTGCTTATGTGGCAAGAAGTTGTTTTTGAACAACCATAATATATAGTAAGATAAGATAAGATAAGATTAAGGCAATTCAAAATTAAATTTTTGTCATATAAGCACTTAGAGAGATCTCAAGTTGCCAAGGTGGACAATTTTTTTACTAAAAAAATAGTTATTGACCTATTTATGGAGTTGTCCCTCTCTCTTCATTTAATATTTAATTCTCTTTCATCCAATAATTATTATGCTTTTGTTTTTGCATTATATTTCTAAATAATATATGGAGAGAAAGGTTATCAAACTGGTTTAGCAAGTGGAATGGTTTTACCAGTGATACAATCGGTTTGTGTCGTTTCATGCCGGTTAATAAAATATGTAGAAATATAAAACATTATTAATATCAAATGAATTTAATCATATATAAACCATATTTGAAGACAATTTATGTGCAATTCATATTGATATTTGAATAAAATATGATATTTCAAATAAAATTACATGTACTCATAATTAAATTCACTAAAACTACGTATTTTACTAAGAAATTCGTAAAACGACCATACCGGTCATACCGATGGTGTCATGTCGATTTCATGACCGGTACCGGTTGAATGGTTCGACCGGTGGCATGCTGACCGACGTGACAATCATGATGGACAGTGACATATATCACATTTTGGTTTTGCATTATATCGATGTACGCAACAGTATACTAATGTTCGTAGAGTGACATATATATCACACTTTTTAAACCAAAAAATATATGATTAAAGATTACTATGTAAATTTCTGCTCATTTTTACTAAAACTTAATAATAATTTATATTTTAATGAATAATTTAAACAACCACACAAAAATAATAATATTTTGTCGATAATGTCTGAAAGAAACTTGACAAAGAAATAATAGTTATTTATTAAAAAAGCTTTTTATTCATTATGATCAAGTGAAAACATATGAATCGCATGTGCAGTATTTAATGTATCCTAAGTTCACATTACTATAATTTTCTCTAGGTCATGTTGATTGAGCAAGCTCTATTGAGGTCTTATATCATATGCTAAGAAATTTTCTTTTCAGACTTGGAGTTATTTATTGATAAAGATTATAAATTGAAGTTTCCAAAATGACTTGAGTATAATAGTTGATGAACATTGATTGAGACACGAGATCACTTGAAAAATAAAATGTGTGAAATTTAGAGAAATCTTTGTAAATGATGTACGTTAAACATCACATTTCATGCTAAGAAAAATCTAAATTCGAAGATTGAGGTAACAAATAAGTATTAATATTTTACTTCACATATATAACAAAAAATGTTTATAGTTACAATAGTGTAAACCGAGCTATTGGGTCAAAAGAAGAATATTTAATAAATATGAGTTTAGTAAGAAAATTGTAACAAGTCTATATAGTTGTGAGTCTGTAATTTCATACCAAATTTTGGCAATAACAAAAAAAATTGATATCATATTCCACCCAAGGAGCTGAGTTCAAAGGTATTAATTAGTGTTGAAAGTAAAATAAACTCTTTGTATATCTTTAATGGGTTTTGTGCAAATTCATGTGTGTTATTGTTCATCACATCATAAGTGACGATTGACATCATTTTGACATAAATCGCATGTTTAAAATGACGGTTATGAAGCGAGTGCACTAAATGCACTAAAAAAAGTGAGTGCACCGAAGACGCCACTATATATATATATATATATATATATATATAGATAGATATTAACAATAGATGTGTCTATAATACATCCAATAATTTAAATACATGTGAAAAGTCACAATGTTTGTATGAAATTTTAAATTTTGCTACAAAATATTTTGTTAAAAAATTATAAGTTAATTATTCAAGGAATTCATTATTTTGAATGCACCTGAAATATTTGTCTGTTGTATACACACTTTACTAATTATTAATATAAGTAATGAAATTTTTGTTCTAGAACAAACACCAAATATAAAGAAATTTTAGTGAATGGACATTCAAATAGTTGAAAAATTATACATTGAAGGAACATGTTAAGATGAGAACTTTCGATAGTGTATATGAATCCTTGGATTCAGATTCTAAACGAACATTCAGACAAAAGGCACGGGTTGAGGGTTAGTACAAACTTAAAATATTGGTAATTGTAATGAGTTGCTATACAAAGACTTCATGAACATCAACAATAAAAATGAGTGAGGTTTAGAGAATTTAATCATTATAAGGGATACGATGTGTTCAAATTTCAATTGGGATAAACATAATTTATCCAGTAATCAAGTATCTTTTTCAATAATTTGAACTCTGATTAATTGGCTGAGAGTTCGTACAAACTCGAGAATCATGAATTGATATATGTTGTATAAGATAATAAATTTGAGCGTATTGGTGGATTTTTTTTATATACGATCCTAAATGGGACGTGATAAACCTTTACGACATGATTTATGATTAGAGAATAAAAACATCACAAGCGAGTGTGCTAACTATTAAATAATATTCGATATAGGCATACCACATATTCACTTATGAAGCGAGAGCAGAAAATGTATACAAGATCCAAAAAGTTCAAATATGTAGATAAGTTAACTAATATAAATAATAAAATGAAATTTTCCGGCCAACTGGCGGGTAAAAAACTAGTTAATTAAATAGTTTTACAACATGCCCATAAACATATCATTAAAACAACCCCTCATCCATCTAGACATCTCAACGGCTTAAAATTTAAATGCCCTCTCCCAATATTCAATTACATATAATCTCTCTTCTATATATAGATGCATTGCTTTGATCGATGAAAACCCATCATTCCTTCATCACGAAAAGAGAAACCCAAAAGTGGCAGTGGGAGAAGCAGCTGCAATGGTCGAGCCGCAGCTAGTGAGCAACATTAGCGACGGGAAGAGGGCAACGGCGACGAAATCGCCAACGTTTTCGCCACCGGAGGTTTCGTTTTTGGCAACGGAGAAAAAGAGAATTAGCGACGGCGAGGGGCGGCCAAGGGTGAGGAAGCTGAATGCGTACGATAGAATCGCGGTGGGCGCCGTCGCCGGGACACATCTGATGGCAATGTGCGCGCCGTTTTGCTTCAGCTGGGATGCGTTTTGGCTGACGGCGACGCTGCAATTGGTGACGGGGTTGTTTGGGATTTGCTTCTCGTACCATCGGAATCTCGCCCACCAGAGCTTCAAGCTCCTCCCTAAATGGCTCGAGTACTTTTTCGCTTACATCGGCGCCCATGCCCTTCAGGTTTTCTTAACTTTCACTTCTCGATCTCGAATCTCGATTTTCGTTTCTCTAAACTCCCGCGTCTTACCTAGGGATGGCAATGGGCGGGTTTGGGGCGGGTTTGCTTAAATCATCCTCATACCTATCTTCAAATACCCAAACCCATACCCGCCCCATACCCATGTGGGGGAATGTTTTGCAAACTCATCCCCATACCCGTGGGTTTCGGGTACCCATGGGTAATACCCATACCCGTACATCCAACATTATTATACCTAAAACTTACAAGAAAAGTTCTAATTATAACTTTAAACGAGCATATTATATCATGACATCAACAAAACACGGTCATTTTTTTAATATGGTTCAAATATTATGATCCTAAAATATCCATTAATACATAATATAGAGTATAATATTTTTCAAATTATTATGTTCTAACTCTGATACATCTAATAAATAATAATTAACTAACATAATCTTGTTGACAAGGGGGAAAGTGAAAGAGTGAAATGAGAATTGAAAGAAATGAATTAGATTTTGATTAAGGTGGTCACTCAATTGCATTTCTACTATTTATTTTCTCAAGTTATCCTCATCATCATTGATAGATTATAATTTGATGCACATATTTTTTTTTTATATAAGAAGAAATTATCTTGGTGGGACGGGTATGGGGATGGGTATGGGGCGGGGGAGGCTAAAACCATACCCGCCCCATACCCATCAAACTTTTTGCGGGTTTTACCCATACCCGGTCAAAGCGGGGATTCCCCGCGTTGACTGGGTCGGGGGCGGTCGGATACCCGCGGCCATGGGTTTGATTGCCATCCCTAGTCTTACCACTTCCGATACCAATCATACCACATTTTTACATGGTCATACTCATATCAGATCTCGAATCTCAACTTTTGTTCCTCTAAATTCCGCATCTTAGTACAGTACTACTTCTGATCATATCAGATAGTGGCATGATTCGTATCAGGGGTTGTAAGACACGAGTTTCGTAAGTTTTTACAATCGTTGAATTTTGTACCATAAACAATGGCGTAAACAAAATTTTGTTCAATGTGTCACCTCAATGCATCCATATAAAATTCATTCATAGCATATTACTCATTCAATATCGAAATGTGTTCTTCAAATGCTTCATTGTCGAAAATGTTCTTTCAAAATGTGGGTTTGATTGTTTGTTGTAGCAACAATAATAATTTTAGAAGTTAATGTGCCTATAAAAAAGCGTAAAAGTAGTAACGTAAATCAGAAAATCAATTGTAATTCTTCGATACATACTCGACTTTAGGATAAAATACTAATATAAATTTGAATCCTACTCAAAACACTCAAATATCTTTTTGTTGAATTGACCCACCTTGACAAGAGGTGGCTCCGTCACTGACCGTAAACCGAACATTTTTTTAATACTAGATTAAACTTTAGTGAGTAAATTTGTGTTTGCAGGGGGATCCATTAACGTGGGTGAGCAACCACAGGTTTCACCATCAATACACTGACACAGAAAGAGATCCACACAGCCCCATTGAAGGGTTTTGGCACAGTCATATGAGCTGGATCTTCGATTCAGCCATGGTTAGAGAGAAGGTAATAGTACTTAAAAAACGTTGTTTAGGATATCTAATACATTACTTAATTGTGTAATTAATGTATAAAGAAATGGGATTTGCAGTGCGGGAAACGAGACAACGTTGGGGACATGAAAAGCCAGGCCTTCTACAGGTGGCTTCGTAGGACTTACGCCTTTCACCCACTGGGACTTGCCCTTATCTTGTATGCCCTTGGTGGACTGCCCTACATCGTTTGGGGAATTGTAAGGCTATAGCTCCCCCTTTAATTGTGTTATATAATTTATAATGATTGTTGATCCCGAGGTTCAAATTCATGATACGATAGTAGATGATATCATTGTTTACCTTCAAATGTTAAACCGTTGCCACTGTTCCATCAGGGCGTGAGGGTAGTGGGCGTTTACCACGCCACGTGGTTTGTCAACTCAGCCGCTCACATATGGGGATCTCGAGTTTGGAACACCGACGACTTGTCGAGAAACAACTGGTAAATTACTTAATTATCATTGTCCCGTTCACGGTTATGGGTTTTCATGAAAAAAGATACACCAAACAAACAAGTTTGGTGGGTCTGGTTGAAGTTAGGAATGATTAGATCGGTCGACTCTTGGGGTACTATGACCCAATTGTCCTGAGCCATATGAGTATTGAATCATACCCAAATTAACTCATGCATTATTTATATGCGGGAATCGGGTTTAATTTGACTAAACTCATTTGAGTCCGTCCCAAATAGGTCTATTTGGGACTTTGAATTAAGATATTGTGCACACAAAATGACAATATCGATCATCTTATTAACTTATTAACTAACAATTTGTAACTATTACTTGTGTTGAACCAGGTGGGTGGCAGTTTTGACACTTGGAGAAGGTTGGCACAACAATCACCATGCGTTCAAGTACTCGGCAAGGCAAGGGCTGGAGTGGTGGCAGATCGACATGACTTGGTACGCAGTGAGGTTACTTCAAGCCATGGGGTTGGCTTATGACGTCAAGCTGCCGAGTAAGCTCCAAATGCAGAAGCTGGCCATGAAAGACCCAAACCAGTAGATGATGAACAACTACTTCAGCTTCATATATATAAACACACAGAAACATGAAGGATTAAAATATATTAATGGTTGAGATATTTTGAGAAAGGAAAAATCTAGAGGAAAGGAGAAGAAGAGTTGGACGAGAAAAAGTGGGAAGAAAGGAGAAGTGTCTAGAGAATAATAAAAAAATTAATATTTGTGCAGATTTTTAGAGGAATAAGGCGGTGGAAGAGTAGTATAAATAGGTTGGGTATGAACTTGTGTTGTGTGTGGAGTGAAGTGAGCAGAGTAAGAAAAGAAAGGAAGAGAGAGACGTGAGTTTGTGTGTAGGTGGAGTGGTGAGAGAAAATAAGGTGTGGTAAGGTATAGAGTTGTAAGAGTGAGCTTGAGAGAATTGTTAGTGTGTGATGTGTCTCAAAGTCATATGTGTGAGCTTGTTATAATATTACAAGTTAGTACTTGTATTAATAAAAGTTGTATTTTAGCTCACTAAATTCAACAAGTGGTATCAGAGCCAAGGTTATGCTGCGTATGCCTGTGGTTGCAGCCTAGTCTGAACTTCTACATAAGAAAGGTAACGTTGAGTATGCTCTGTGGTTGCAGCTAAGTCTGATCTTCCACATAAGAAAAGTTATCCTTGGAATATTTGATACATTGTTGAAAAGCTAACGGTCTAGGACCGTAGTTGTGCTACCAATCCGGGATTGGTAAAGCGAACCGTAGTTCTGCCAGTGTACACAGTCTGGGACTGTGATTCCATTTGGTCTGGGACCAAGTTTACATCAAGAAGAGTGTGATTATGGATGCGGTTGGGAGCATCAAGAAGCTCAACAACCAGAATTACAACACATGGGCAACGTGTATGGAGAAGCTCAACAACCAGGAGATTCTGGCAAAGAAAGGAAACAACGAGTCTACAGAAAATAAAGAGCAAGTACTCTTCACCAGTAGACAAAAGGGTCGGTTCATGAAGAAGAACTACCAGTCCACGCAAAATAGAGAGGAGGATCAACCAAGACAATGGAGGAGAAAAGAATTCCAGTCTAGAAGATTCTCACCACCAACTTTGTTCTATTCATCAGTGCCAACAAATTAATCACTTCAGGAGGGATTCTTGGCAAGCCCTTTTGGATTGCTCAATCAAGCTAGTGCTAATCTCTCACTATTGAAATCTGAATTAGTTTGTGCATTGACCACGTCAAAAGTATCCATTATTGATCTAGCTTGGTCTAACAAGTGGTATTAGATCCCGACTCCCTCAAAAAGATCAAAAGATCTGCGAGGAAACTGAGATCCGATATACCAAGCATGGCTAGTGGGTCATCTACAAATCATGGTTCTAATTCTACTCATATGGAGGGTCTTTCATATGTTAGACCACCATGGTTTGATGGATATAGTTATTCCTTTTGGAAAACACGTATGATTGTTTTCTTTAAAGGGATGGGTTTTGACGTTTGGAATGTAGTTGAGAATGGTATGGGTGATATCAAAGATGATCCCAACACATGGTCTAGCGATGATCTAAAAAAGATGGAGTTAGATGCTAAAGAAACAAATGATGACTTGCACTTTCCCATCTCGGATCCCCACGAGCCTGAGCATAGCTGGTAGGTACAATAACGGGATCAACCTGAAAAGTGGCATAGTCATTAAGATAGGTAGGCGGCTGGCCCAAGTTAGCCCGTAGCGAGCGCCGAGGAGGGATGACCGGAGCTGGAGATGATGACGGGGAAGACTCCAGAGACGATGGTGGTGTCGAGGGGGCGGGAGAGGAGGCATCCGTCAAGGGAGTGAGCGGGCTAGGCGGAGAGTCCGGGTCGAGGCCATCATTAGCATCATCAACATCAACATCATCAGGGAACGAGGGAAGACTCAAGGTGGAGGCAAATAGAGGAGGAGACTCAGACGACGAAGAGGAATAAAACATCAAATTCTCAAAGAACACTACGTTGCATGCGGTACGAATCCGACGAAGAGCAGGGTCATAGCACAAGTATCCCTTATGAATGTCGCTATACCCTAGGAACATGCAACGAGCTGTTTTAGACGTAAGTTTAGTACGTTCAGACCTGGGAAGAAGGACGAAACATAGACAACCAAAAACCCGAAGACGCGAATATGGAGGATGGTGACCAAACAGCCGAAAATAGGGACTCTCTTGGCCTAAAACTGGGGTAATTTGATAATTGATCAACCGAACAGCAGTGGACACGGTTTCAGGCCAAAAAGAAGAAGGGGCACGAGAAGCCAATAAGAGAGCCCTAGTAACTTCAACGACATGTCTATTTTTACGCTTGACAAGACCATTTTGTTGAGAAACACCAGGACGGGATTTTTGGGTTAGAATACCGAGGGAGCGATACAACTGAAGAAGGGGAGTGGAACTGAATTCCCCACCAGGATCGGAGCGGACTACACGAATTGTTCTATTAAACTTGTCTGGATCATTTTGAGGAATTCTGTAGCAATGGACAAGAGTTCAGACTTGAGACGCAAGAAATAGACCCAGGTATATCGAGTGGCATGGTCCATGAACAAGGCAAAGTATTTGTAGCCAAGACGAGAGATAGTGGGACTAGGACCCCAAAGATCTGTATGAATCAGGTGAAACGGTTCGGTAATAGTAGTAAGACTCGAGGGAAAGGAAATACTGGTAGCTTTGGCTTCCACACAACTAGTGCACGAAAAATCCAAGGAATGAGCTACTTTATTACCAAATAATTTCTGTTTAAACATAGTAACGAGACAAACAGAGTTGGGGTGGCCAAGGCGATCATGCCACAACTTAAAATTCCTAATACCAGGACTCGACAGCATAGAAGGAACCCTAGACACCGAAGATACGGAACAAGATGGAGACACCGGAGACATTGAGGATGCTTCAAGCTTCTCAAGATAAAATAGTCGCCCTTGTTTACTACCCTTGCCTATCTCCCGCCCCGTCTTCAGATTTTGTACAGAACAACCAAAAGGTGCAAACACAACACGACAACCTCGTTCAGTTAACTGGCCCACCGAGACTAAACTAGGAACACGTTTAGGAACATAAAAGGTGTCAGGCAAGGTCACATCACAATCATTAACCGAACCCCTGCCCGAAACTGGTATTCGAGAGCCATCAGCAACTTGGAGGGAAATATCATTGACAAGTACTATATTTTTCAAGGCATCACGATGATTTGTCATATGATTAAAACAAGCAGAGTCCAAAATCCAACGTGGAAGCTTACCCGATGCCTGAAGACTAGCAAAGGTTGAACTGATGGCCTTGTTAACAAGCTACTCAAGAGCAGCCGGTGTGACCATCATCCCTTCGCTGTTCGGAGCTGGTTGAGTGGCATATGCATGGCGAGACGAGCCCGGACCTCCACGATGCTGAGCTGATGATGTATTTCCACCGTGGGATCCATTGTGACCAGGAGATCGGGAACCAATGGAAGGGCAGTCGGGAATAATGTGACATGTTTGTTTATAGTAAACACAAAAATTCTGACGACGGCAATACCTTTTAGTGTGACCATTTGCGTGGCAGTGATGGCACTCGATATCACATCGGGGAGCTTGGAAACGGTACGTAGCAAAGGCAGCAGCATCCTCGGGTCCCACCGGCGCGGCAGACGACCTAGCCGACTAGACCACAACAGCACTGGTCGGAGGTGGAGCTGATCCTCCCTGGGCGACAGCAAAAATCGTCGGCTCACCATGACTGGGCCGCGCGTCGATCACGGCCTGCGTGCGAAGCCTTGTTTCCTCACGTAGCAAAGCCCCAATAACCTGCTCCAGCTGAAGTCCTTTGCGGTTAAGGAGAGTGGAGCGCACTGCCTCAAGGTCAGGCCTAAGACGCGCCAAAAACTGCAGCAGCCGGGTCTTGTTTCTCTAGGCCTGAAATTCAGCCGAGGCCATGCCGGACAGGAGAGCAGCAGCGAGAAGGTCTTGTTTTGTCCACGGGAGCTTGGCCGCATTGTAGTAGGTAGTCACGTCCTGGTCTCCCTGCTGAAGATTGGCAAGTTCGATTTCTATTTCAAATTGGCGGGCCACGCTTGTAGAAGAATACGTAGCCTTTAGCGACTGCCACTCATCGGCCGACGTTGGGAGAAGACGAAGGCCGAGCACAATCGACGGATCGACGGACTTCAAGATCCACGAACGAACTTTGGCATCAGACTGCATCCACTTGGCGAGCTCCTGATCGGTAGCAGGAGGAACAGCAGGTTTCGTTGCGGAACCGTCAAGAAAACCAAAGAATCCTTGACCTTTGATGAACGTACGGAACTGGAATTCCCACAGCGCGAAGTTCTTCGAATTCAGACGGGTGTTGATATGATCCGATTCCATAGGCTCTGATACCCTGTTAGGAACCATACTACGAGATTGAGGAACTAAACGAGAATCGAAACGAGACGGTGTTTACGTGGTTTCCTTGTTCGATCTTGATCGAACAAGACTAGTCCACGGGAAGGAGCTGTATCTTTCTTATTTCTCACTGAGTTCCAACGTCACATCTGCAATACACATATATACAACTCGGCTATGCTACTCTAACCCTAGCCGAGGAAGACTAGCCCTTTAGGGCACTCGGACCTCAACTCCAGGTCCATGGGCTAAAGCCCATTTGCAATACGTCATAACTCAACACCGCTTATGTGTCCTAAAGTGAAAAGGAAGCAATAACGTAGTCATCTACAATACGGTAACTTATAACTACTTATTATCTATCATATCTTTTTTTTTTAAGTAGTCATCTACAATATGGCTGAAACAAGTCAACTACGTTTTGAGGGAGCACTTCTACTATGCTATATAGTATTGGTGCTTTAATGTACAACTTAAAGTTGTACCATAACATTAAATGTATAAGTTTAGGTTGTACCATAAAGCAATTTGTACCATTATGTTATGGTACAACTTTACAACTTGAAGTTGTATCATCACATAAAGGTACAAGTTCAAGTTGTACCATAAAAAAAATTGTACAAAAAGTATAGGTACAATCTGAAGTTGTACCATAACATA